CAAAGTCACGAGCATCACAAATTTATTCATCGGAGGATGTAGCCAACGCGTTTCGCTGGTCTCGCAGCTCTCCATTCATCTGCTGGGAATAATTGTATACTGGACAGTACCCGGCTACTGGGAGAGGAGGGGGCGGGGCGCTGGTTTTGGATCCTCCGCCACTAGAAAACAAGATCCTTAATGGAGACAAAAGGTTTGGTGGCTCTCTACAAAGTGGGGGCCCCTCCAACAAGAAAGGACAGGGGCCACACAAACTGAAGTAGTCCATGCGTAGTTGAGGCAGAAAGCCGGGAGCACGTAGCATCCCTCATCATTCCCGCTGTCAGCTGTTAAAGTCACCCTATGCTATTGCCAAGCATGAGCAAAGGCACATGATCATGGCTCCAGCCAACCTCCATACAGCCAGATCATGTGACCCTTCAACCTTCGTGCACACTGCCCATCGCTGAGAAATGGGGGGCCTTGTCTAGGACCTGCCCTGTGATTGGACAGTGAAGGATCAGCAGACAGCATCACTCTGTGCTCTCCTCTTATCAGTTCCCGGGTCTGTACACCCGCTGTGCCCATTATGAGGAGCTCCCACCATCCCTGTGCTGAGTTCCCGGGTCTGTACACCCGCTGTGCCCATTATGAGGGCCTCCCACCATCCCTGTGCTGAGTTCCCGGGTCTGTACACCCGCTGTGTCCATTATGAGGGACTCCCACCATCCCTGTGCTGAGTTCCCGGGTCTGTACACCCGCTGTGCCCATTATGAGGGGCTCCCACCATCGCTGTGCTGAGTTCCCGGGTCTCTACACCCGCTGTGCCCATTATGAGGAGCTCCCACCATCCCTGTGCTGAGTTCCCGGGTCTGTATACCTCCTGTATATACCATAATGGGCCCCTGCTGTGCCCATTATGAGGGGCTCCCACCATCCCTGTGGAGGATTACATTGATAAAAGGGGATACATTTGGGGTACAGATGTATGAGTATAGAGAGCTATGTATTCATAGATAGGGGTATATGTATATAGAATACAAAGGGCTATATATAGGTAAAGAAGGGGAGGTATTTATATTTTTATGTCTCCATTCCCCGTCGTTTTTGGCTACAATAAAATGGCCCCCGCCGCGTCTTTGCGTGCTCGCGTCTCCGTACGTAACCGCGCGCTCTGTATTCGGAGATCTCCGGTGATCGATCAAAACTACGAACTTATCGAGTTGTGGGACCGCATTACTTCCGGTTTCCTTAGAACTACGAGGTTTTTACACAAAACATGTTGTGCACGAGCGCCATCCATGGCATTGTCCTATAGACATAGACCACAGCAATAAAGTAATAAAATGATGTAGGATGACAATAAGCCAGCGCGTTCTTTATCTCAGGTGCCCCACTCAAGCGGCGGCCATATTGAGTGGGGCACCGGAGATAAACAACGCGCTGGCTTACTGTCATCCTACATCATTTTATTACTTTATTGCTGTGGTCTATGTCTATAGGGCAATGCCGTGGATGGCGCTCGTGCACAACATGTTTTGTGTAAAAACCTCGTAGTACTGAGGAAACCGGAAGTAATGCGGTCCCACAACTCGATAAGTTCGCACTTTCGACACATCACCGG